GGCCGCTGGCACTGCGAAGTGACACGCTATGCTGAATACGTTTCCGCGCGGATGTTGTGCAATCGTGCTGCAGCGCGATTACGATTTAATCCTAGAAACTGTAAAGGGAAGGACGTAGAATAATGTTTATTTTATTAAATATTACATATGAATTTCTCTCAATTTTTCCTTGTATGGTACATTTCAAAACAATTGTCTACACAAAGTGGTGTATTGCAGTTTGTGCAAAAATATTTGGTTCTCTTCCTCTTTCCATTTTTCTTACATAGTACACACTCTTTTATAGTTTTCCCTTCCAGTCTGTTTATTAAATGTCTTCCAGTCAATCTAATTTCCATTTCTTCTGAGTTTCTTTTTCCTCCGCCTACATTTTTCATTTGTGAATGAACGTTATTTAGAATTTCTCTTACTAACTGTAACTGGAATTTTGCTAGTGGTATCTTATTTCCTGTTAAAATTTTGTAGGCAGAATGAGCATTGAGGAGCGATAAATCTAGAAGATGAAAGAACAATTTCCTGTACCATTTCAGCGACTTGGGTAAAGAAGAGACTGAGCAGAGCACCATGCTGACTGCGCCCATGTGCTCATTGTAGTCTTCTGCAACATTCGGTTTATTTCTTCCTGTAACTCTGTCTTTCTTCTTTGTTTCTACCATATCGACCGTGTGCGTTGTCGAAAGCATCCACACCTCTTTTTTATCCTGCTACTTCAATGCAATCATTTTTTGATCAACTGTTCGAAAAGAGATTTCCCCCTTCAATTTGTTTCCAATTACAGGCATACACTTTCTGTTTTTCCTAACAGTGCCACAAGCATTAGTAGAGTGCACATGTAGCCAATTGAAAAGTGCTGGACTTGAGTACCAATGGTCGACGAACATACTGTTTCCCTTGTTAACATATGGTTGCAACAATGTTGCCAGTAATTTCAAGTTTATAATCTTCAATATCTAAGGAAATGCCGGTGTACACTATAGTGTCCAATACATATCCTGACTTGCAATCGCACATTACAAAAAGTTTTATTCCAAAACGATTCCTCTTAGATGGAATATATTGTTTGAAGCTCAGTATGCTTTTGAAGAGCACAAGACTTTCATCTATACATAAATTCTGGAAGGGATATAAGCAAGTTTTAAAATTGGTTCCAATGCTGTCCATAATGTTTCTTACTTTCACCAAATGGTCACCATTATTGGGCACAATATTGTCAGAAAAATGAAGTGCTGGCAGCAAAAGAAACCTATCTGTTGAAAAAAAATTCTTGAAAAATTGAAGTACTTAAAAGCCTGTCATTTGATCACTATTCATCTAGTGAATTTTTCTTTACACGGGCCATCAAAAATACAACTGCAAAAAATAAGTACATTTAATTTCTGTAAGTTTCGAACCATTTTAGTAATCTTGATTTTTCCTTTGTAATGTCCTTTAGAAGAAATTGTGCGTACTTATTGGTTTCTTCTACAATTAAATCAACGGTTTCTTCATCAAAAATACCTGCAAGAAACTAAAAAAAAGTTCTGATGAAATTGGCACTTTCATACCGCTTGATGAGATGTCAAACTGGTGAACTTTAGAAGACAAGTGTGCACTTTTCCAATAAAAATCCGTGGTCCTCGTTGTTTCTTCATCATCACTGTCATCAGTTTCAGAATTACTTAGATCTGCATCATGATCTGGAGCTACGAATGCATCTTGAGCACGCTGCTGTGCGGCAGAAGTCGGAGGGCCGTAGATATCATCTTCCTGTTCATCTTCACTATCCGATGAATTTTCTTCAAAATCACTCTTCATGAGCATTTCTCTAACTTCATCTAAAGTAAATACACGATCACATGTTTTCAAACTCACTCGCACCGTACAATAACTGCTTCCCAAGATAAGTGTTCACGAACACACTGATTCACACAGTCTCTCGCATAATACAACATAATATAATAATACAACATAATATAATAATATAACATAATATAATAATATAACATAATATAATAATATAACATAATATAATAATATAGCATTATATAATAATAAAATAATAATGAAAATAAAAATGATATAAAAGTGTCTAATTCATAAAAAATTTAAAATTACCTTTAAAAAAAACATAATATAACTCCGCACTGAATCTTTGTTCAACTGCACTTCACTTCACTACACTTCACTATGACCCTTTAATAAATTCTTTCATTATTTCTTTGTTCTACACTTCACGACACCTCACTTCACAATATATAACTGACGCATCGCTCTATAACCTATTTTCAGCTAATTCCCTCATTTATATAGTAATGCTCTAAATTAACTTCCTAAATTGTTGTACGCTACGAGGAAAGGATTCAAAGGTTTTTGCAGGCAATGTATTCCATTCTTTTATTGTTCGATTTGTAAAAGAAAATTTTCCCACATCTGTTCTCTGCTTTCATGAATTTGTTTTGTGCCTGTGATGTATGCCTACTGATGTATGTAGGAACAGCCGCCAATTAATTTATTTCCAAGCTGGTTCACCGCAGTATTTATGACGTAACGCTTGCCCCGGTAGAAAATTCTTGGCCAATTCGGACTTTCTGCTTTCTGTCTCGCAGAAACTCGCTAATCCACGCCACCTCCCTGGAATCTAAGCTTGAATTCATTAATTTCTGTACGAGCCGATCGTGGGGAACGTGAAACGCTTTGGCAAAATCTATAACTATTGCGTCTACTCTCCCGCCCGCGTCAATTTCATCTGCGAGATCCTGAAATAGCGTGGCTACCTAACTTTCACATGAATAACCACTCCAGAAGTCGTGTTGGCCATCATAGAGCCATTTTTTGATTTCCCATTCTTGCTTAATGTAACTGGCAACTAGATACTCCATAAGTTTGCAGACCACTGACGTAAGACGTACCGGTCTATAATTAATACAGTTTTGTCACCACTTTTAAAAATTGGTACGACAAAAGCTAATTTCCAGTCTTCAGCTACTTTAGAATTGTTCATGGAAACGTGAAATATTCTGATAAGGTACAGTAATATTGCCTCTCCTCCCAGTTTAACTATGTCTGTAGAAATGTCATCTGGACCCCTTGACTTACCATTTTTCCATAGATTTTACTTTATTCCGTAGAACGTGCACTTCAATATTAAACTGATTTGTAACCGAAGACCCCTGAATTAATCAAAGGTTTGTATTGCTTTTGAAAACTGAACTGAAATACTTATTAAACGCATTAGGTTTTACCCGATCGTTAGTAATGAGCGTGTTTCCGTTCTCACGAACAACTGGGATATCCTCCTTATTTCCTTTCCTTCTACGAACATATTTATAAAATCCTGTCCAGTTGTTTCCTTTCCCATCAAGAATATTCTTTAAATATGCTTCCTGAGCAATTTTCTTTTCTCGCCCCAATTCTTTGGAATGATTTCGAAAAATATTCATATGTTCGCTAGTACGTTTTCTGTTATTGAATACCTTTCTCGTTACCCTCTTCATTCTCCTAATTTTTGAATTGTAGTATTCTGGGTCCGGAATTTTATTTTACACTTTGCAGGTAACAAACCTTTGGCTTCGTGTATATCTTTGAACGCGCCCCATATTTCTTCCATACCTCCCTCGGTTCTCAGAAAGCGATTGTATTGTCCCCTAAAAAAAATTCGGCATCCAAAATCGCATCCTGCCGCGTACCGCTCCGAACTACCTGAGTTAATTCCCTGTCCCAAAGTAGACTGTTCACAAGTGTCTGGACTTTCCCCTCGCTCACGGTTCCCTCCCAATTTGCGCTAGGAATATTTAAGTCGCCTCCAATAACAGTGGGATGGCGATTCTCGTTTCCTGTTTTCTGAAGGATGTCATCTAAAATGTCGAAACCGTCGCTCGGAGGCCTATACCATGCAATGATTTTAATATGGTTCCTGAAGTAATCTCTATTCCCATCATTTCAAACTCTGTACTGACCCAATCTAATATACATGCCTGCTTTGACGCAAATAAAAACTCCGCCCCCTCTACCTTTTCTATCCCTTCTGAAGATCTTGTAAAGAGAATGAAAAATTTCAGAGGACCTGATTTCCTCAGTTAGCCATGACTCTGTCCTAATCACTGTGTCGGGATCACATGCATCGACTAGATTCCAAAATTCTATTTCTTTATTGATTATGCTCCGTCAGTTTACCTGCAACAACCTTGAAAACCCTCTCCTCAGCTGAATGTATTCTCGAGAAGGCTCGTCCCTCGTCTCCGCCGCCATCGCCGTGCCGTCTTGATCGTGGTTGCCACCAACCGCCTCTGTTTCGCTGAAGTCGTGCTCAGTCGACTCGTTCACGCCCGTTGCCGCAGCCTCTGCTCCGACGATGAATTTAGGAGTTGAATACTCCTCGTTGTTTCCTTTCGCAGTTGCCCTAATCTCTTCATTTCGGTCCTTCCTCGCTGTCTCAGTTGCTTCACCCCACCCAAATTTACCGCAGAGGAACCTTTAGCTGCAGCCCGTCTCTGCCAAATTGGTTGTGGCTACCAAAAGCCTCGCGCGGGCCGTCACGAATGTCGCTCCGCCGCCCACTCGCATATAGCATAGGCAACAACTTTTTCTTGCCTTCCTCTTTTAGTGTTCTCAGGATTGTTACTCTTGGTATTTAGGAGAAATTGCTTTGTTAAACAATAGTAACAGGGAACGTTTGCCGCAGAAACATTGCAGTTCCATTTATATGGGTCTTCATTACAGTGGTCTAAGATGGGACAAATACTATTCATGTGAAAGACCAAGCTATGAGTCTGAGCATGCCGGTATTAGCAAGTACTTGTTTGTCACATTGGTGTGAGATGCAATAAGGTCGGTCAAGGTTTTTACATCTACAGGGTTTTTAGGCTCCCATAATCGTAAGATGATTGTGGTATCGTATCGTAAGATAAGAAGATAATGGTATGATTATTAATTTTGTATTCTTGGCGAGTGAAAATTTTTATAAACTAGTATTAGTGGCCGGATTCGAATCGGCAGACATACACAGTTAATGACGGTGCCACATGGTTCGTGGTAAAGAAGAAGACGAATCGCTCCTGTTCGTGGTTGGTGCTAGTGGCTCGGTGGTGAAGGTTGAAATGGCGTCGTCCTCGTCCCACGCTTGTGGTACGCGTGGAGCGCGGGAATGTACAGACCGAGGACAAAAATAGTCAAGGAAACGCCACATGGCGCAACAAAGAGAAGATCGCAATAGGACATCTACGCACACTCGCAATGTCCAGATATGACTAATTAACACGAATGACGGTATTCCTTGTATACTGTAGAAGTCAAGATGACTCGCATCCTGTTTCCATCTCACCCCCTAGTCGTTTCTTTACTGCTTTCTGTGTAGAGGAAGGAAGACGCTCGAAGCCCAGCCTTTTGTGCGCTGGGCGCTCTCTGCTTAGTTCCGACGTGGAAATGGAGTGCGTTGCTGTTCGCGTCCGTAATCGCTTTGTCGTGAAGATCTCCAATCGAATTCGTGGTGGGATTGGAATGATGAATGCGGTCGACGTAGCCCTTCCGGAACGGGGCGCTCTTATCCGCTCACGCGCACGCGAAATGCTTTCTCATTGTCGCAAACCGTTCTGCTTTGTATCCGTGCAGTCCTGTACTCGCGAGTGCCGGGCGTCGGGTGCCGTCGGCGGAGAGCCGGGAGCTGCGCGTGCGCCCTTGGCGTTATTGGCGATTGACTCGCTCCACGACCGCTGCCTCGTGGTGGGGAACCATTCGGCGCTCTTGTAAAATTCCGTTCGGCGTCAGTTTGTCCCGAGTGAAATCTTTTCCGCTGCGCTACTCTTTCTATACAATTGGGGCTGTACGGAGCATCCATAAGGAATGTAATATTAATTTTAACATTGACATTAGTGTATTATTTTCCATTTGGATTGTATAGTTCTGAAGAACCTGTATCAAGTATTTTACTTCAGCTTCTGGGTCAATGACTCCCATCTCGATCAGATTTTCGTCAAGTTCCTAGATCTTTGAGCAAATGCTGAGATGGCTCCTTGTTTTGCTTCTGGACATAAATGTCACTTGAAATAATCTTCTCCACACAGCACGTCACCCAGTTTTTAACTTGACGTAAATAAATAATAAAAGTTCTGCAATTTGTGTTGTTTACAAAATATGAGAGATGTGTTAATTCGGAGAGGAATCACGCTATAAATAGTAAAACCTAACCATTACTAAAGACGAGAAAGTATGTGCTGTAATAGCTTAACCACTTATTTTACTTAAATCTGATAAAATGCTGTTGCATTTTCTACTATTTTGTCTTTTTGTAATTGTCACCAGTTGTGGATTTCAGTTGCTCTATCCAATCTTTTCAGATGCTCGTTTCTGTCCTTACGGTTCTGTGAGATAATGTGCTTTACATTACGTTTATTGTCCCTCCTGATCATTTTTTGTTCGTTTATTGATTTCTGCAAATTCTACTTGTAAAATTGCTGTTTTGACTTTGAGTTCCATTGTTCAAAAAATCGTGTTCTTCAATGTTCGTTCACAAAACCCTTTTTATTTCAGTTCTCTTTTCAGTTTAGTATGTTTTCTTCCATTTTATTGTACATTTCTTGTACGTTTGCAATTTGCTGTATATTTGCTTCGGACAATTTTCTTTCGAGAATTTGAGAATATTTTGATGGAAAAGTCAGTCGGAGTGCTTTGAATTTGCTTGTACTTTTTATGAAACTTTCGGAGAATGCTATTTCACAGAAATGAACCTGAGTAATAGTTTCTTTGAATCGTGTGAAATTAAAGATAGTCGCTGGAAACGATAAAAAAATTCCACTGGGGAATATTCAGAAAATGAGTAGCCCCCTTTTCTTAGTTCTATTTCTGCTTTCGTGCGTATCTTTTTGGTCCCTCCTCGCGAAGTTCATGACTTAACAGTCCGCACGGTAAATCTTGCCACAGAATTCGTATTCTTCCTGAAAGGAATAATGTGAAAGCTTATAATAGTCAAGATAATTTCAGCAAATCTACAACGCTTTCTTGTATAGATTGCAAGTAGTTTTACTTAGTCCTCCCTCAGTGCCATGAAGTTCAATGGTTTGATAGAACAAATATCTTAAATCTCATTTTCTAATGTCTTAAAACTAATGAAGCTACTTAATGAACCAGTGAGTAAAACGAAGTGTTGTTTAACCCAGAATTTTGCAATTATTTTTCTTACCTTTGATTCGTGGTTTGCAATGCTTTATTAAAGTATTGTTCTGAAATGAAATTAATTGTGAAGTGAAAAGGTTATTTCATAATTAGGTCAGAATGTAAAATGCAATTCCTAAAGCAAATATATATGAAGTGAATTTAATTTAAGAGGTCGAGAGAACAAACGGTAGAAGTTAATTTTTGGCAAACTTTGAGTTTTGGTGTAAGGTTAGACTACATTTCATAACGTGTATTAGTGGTGCACAAATTGTTAAAGTTACTGCGTTGCAGCAGTGGAAACAAAATGCGCGTTCGTCTTGTCTAGCGTAGCCTAGTCAGTCAGTTTTCACTATACCATATTTAGTACCCATATATCCGTTGTTGTCTAAGCCCTTAATTTTACTTTTGGCAGAAAAACAAAAACTATGTAACGCATCTGATAACTATTCACAAGATGCAGGTGTAGTGAAGTATAAAATGTGTAATTAATGTCATGGTTATATGGTAATTTGATGAAGGTACAAAATATAATCACCAGAATAAATGTAGAGAAATGTTTGTATGTGAGTTTTTATTGTATTCCGTTTTCAGTATTCATGTACTAAGAATTCTTGGAAGTAGCAGGATAAGTCCATAAGTATGTGCTCTGATTTTGTTGACGTTGGCTCTGTGGTGATGTGTTGACCAGCCACCAGGTGGCCCCGTTTCCTTCCGTGTGGTAGGTCGCGGCGTTACAGGATCAGTCCACCTTGCTGTTGCGGCGTGAAGGCGTTCGTGGACGTGGAGCAGAGCGCGAGGACAAGTCGTCCCTGCTGCAGCCGCAAGCGACTACAATAGCGAAGTGCGCGCTTTGACACTCGGTGAGCTCCTGAAGTGACAAACCGTACGCACATTAGTCGCAGCTCTGCATATGGAATCATGCGTACAACAGGCTTGGCTTAGTTCCGAAACATCTTGATGAAGAGCATAAGTGCGTTCGGGTGGGAATCTGCCAGCCTCTGTTGGATTGTCAGGCTAACGAAGGTGAAACGCATCTGGGGATGAAACGGGAGTTCACCACTTCGAACCACAGAGTAAACGTTGGAACGAGCATGGAATGGAAGCGTCCGGAATCTCCAGAGTCAAGAAACTCAAGAGTCAACCTTCTGCGGGGAAAGTGATTTTTTGGCCTCGCGGGGTCCGGTCCTCTAAGATTAGCGAGAAAAGCTGTCACCAGTGAACGTAACAGCGCTACGCTGTGAAGCAAGTTGAAGAGTGCAATGGGCAACAGCCGCGGGGGCCGAGTGCCGAAGGGAGTTCGTTCGTGGCGAGCCAATGTGGCGTCGGAGCGTCGTGTGCCTGCTTCACGTGGTGTCAAGTGATCTGAGCCGCCGTCGGTTCAGCTCCGAAGCGCAGCTGGAGGAAGCTGTGCATTCAAAAACGGGTGGATGTGTGTGGATGTGGAAATTGGAAAGCTTGTTCACACCCATATACCGAGTACATTGAAAAGCAGGACTATGTTGAAACGGGTACTTTTGTGATCAACTATAAATTCCATTGCAGCAGATACTTATTGACTTACCTACATTTGTGCTGTGGGAGTTCTGATGTGGCACTTTCTTCCGACTTTTGCCACAACCGCGGACTGATGACTAATGTTTTTTACTACTTTAGACGTTTTTGTCTACGTATTTGTGATGTTACGTCAGAAAAATGTATTACTTAAATTATCGTTATTATTTCTGCTTTATTTGTAGCCCGAATTCTTTGATGCTTCCTGAATTTTCTATGTAATGCATAACAGTGAAATATATTTTGTTATAATAAAATGTGAGAAATAAACTTGACTTCTCATTTTTACATATTCCCTTTTTCCATGTAAAACCTATTTCTTCTGGAAATGTGCAGAGTAATTTTCAAATATATACAGTATAGTTTTTGCAACCTTGTTTGTAAATCACGCAATGAATAACTTCCTGCAAAACCATTCATTTATTAATTTTTTGGTACGCATGCAGTTGTAAATCTCGGTCTTTCACATCCACTGCCAGCCATTACGTACATACAATCGTTTCCCTTCGTTTCTGAATATTGTTGAAAAATTAAATCTTTCGGATTTTGCTGTGCCCCGTGAAGATCAAGTGGTGCAACTCATTTTTTCTTCTGTTCATGGAAGTATGACCAGTTAAAAAACGTGTTCTATCGCGTTTTAACACTGCGTTTTCTTCTGATGCATGCTATATAACGAACAGAAATAAAAATGCCTATTATAAAATAATGACAATTACAAAAAAATATAGTTTTGGAAGAGTGTTTAAATTCAGTGAGAGACTGCCTTTCTTATTATTTTTCTGTTTGTTTAGAATTTGTTTGAAGGTCCTTTTTTTAAGCATTCATTATATAATACAATTTTCTTCAAAATCTTACTATTGTTAAACGAGTCTAGAGATTGTAAGATTTTAAATAAATATTTGTGATGAATGTCTGCCGAAAAGGACCTCACCAATTCTAACAATAAATTATAATTGCAAACTTCTTTTAACATCATTCCTTAGGAAGGGAAACATCCTACAGAAGTATCCTCACACAGACCAAACAGCTGATTGTATATGCTGTCACGTTCAAGAGTTATATTCTCATCCCAATTGCCTGACAGTACATCTTTTAGACGACAGTGACTTAAGATGCAGGCATTGTCGTAACGTTCGGGACCGCAATGCGGGCGGGCCCATGTAAAGAAGGGCCCAATTTTAGACTGAAAGTTTTGCGATTGCAAGAAATAATAATTAAATTTTCTGATACTTTTGCGATAATTGATACAAGAGATTAAAAAAGTATCTTCCAGAAGAATGGTTTTTCTTCAGTAGCTTATATAATCCTGTTTCTAAATCAATAAAGGTAAGCAATTCATTTGCTTTTATTTAATTTAATAAAATTAAGACTGTTATAAAGCCCAGATTTTTTAATATTGGTTATTACTCAGACTGGTGAATATGAATATGTTGAAGAATATTTTCATTATTTAAAGTACTAACACTGTTTGGGAGACACTTTAATAGAGGAGGCCCGGATAAATGTTTTGCGGGCGGGACTGCACTCATTTCGTTACGCTGTCCTTTTAAACATAGCAGAAACAAGACCTTGCTGCTTGGAATTGTCAGTGTTAAAATAATTTCAAAACACACTGAGTTTAACATATTTTGGGGGTACTTTACAGGAAGCCACAAAACAAATCACACAAAGGTGGGGTAGGTACCGTAGCAGCCGATCCTGCTGTGCAGTGGGCCTCGCAATCGACCAGGTGAGTACTTCGCTCGCGAGAGCTCGACGTGCTAATCGAGCCAGGCCAGGGGCTCCCGTCGAGGTCTACGAACCGGCGAATGATATTCAAGATTTCATTGAGAACAAACAAATTAAGAGAAACAAAACATATAACAATAACGATCTGCTCTGTTCGGGTGACGCCGCGTTGAAGACGGAAGTGCCGGCGTTTCAACCAACATATCGCGGCCTTCTTCAGGGCTGTGGTGCAAGATGGGCCACGTTTCCTATATTAGCTTGCACAAAAACCAGACTCAGCCTGGCGCCCTGGGCAGGAAGAGAACCTGGATATCTCTGTCGAAACGACGGCCCCTCCGCCTTGCGTCACCCGGGCGGCCCAGGTGGGGCCTGGGCGAGGAAACCTGCTTCGTGTCCGTCGAGAGAGAAGCGCAGCCAGGCTGCCACCGCCCCGCTCCTCCCCAGGGCGCTTCACAAGGAATTGGCGGAGAATTAAACGAACTGCATATCCCAGCAGCCCCGCCACGGGCGTTGAACTTAATGAACACAACATCCACGGTGCGTACGAACCTGGAAAAGTCGGGGAATTTATGTAAATACTCTACCTTTTTCGTTCAAAAAAATTCTAAGGGGGTCATCTCAGCATTTGTTCGAGGATCAGGGAAACTGGACGAAGACCTGATCGAGATGGGGGTCATTGACCCAGAAGCTGAACTACAATACTCGTTAGGTTCTTTACAATTATACAATCCAAATGGTAAATAATACACTAAATGCCTTCCTCAAATTAATATTACTTTCCTTTTGGATGCTGGGTGTAGTCTAATTGTATATAATCAGTTGTGAAGCAGAAACAATTTTACTTGGTACTTAAACTTTTGTATCGAATTTAATCGATTAATCATCTGACAAGGTGTTGTAATGTACATATGTTAATGTGAATACTTTGTAGTCAGCTGATGATTCTATTTCCTGATGAATATGATTAATACGTCGAGTGTTGTAGTTATAGACAACGGAGTTTGCTGAAACTATATTCCCGCCTTTGACATTTTTGACAAAAACCACTGATTCATATATGAAAATACAAGGTAATGGTAAAATACCTAGATGAATAATCTCAGTCTGGGAACTACAAGATGTTTGAAGAGCCAGACTAGACGCTGGCGCCATGTTGCATGAAGAGCGAGAAGTGTTAGGAACCGTTTTGAAAGTGCTACAAAGTCACAGTTTTCGACGGTTACCAACCAAATATAACATGAAGGTATGAAAGATGCAATATTTAAAATGAATACTTCATAAATCTGTTGCAATGTCTTGTAACGGTGATATCGGGTGCATTTCAAATTCCCGCCAATATTGTGACGCAAAGCGCCGGCTGAAGTCGGCTTCGTTGCGCGGGAGCACCCCTTCTCCCTGTCCATAAAGAAGAAAAATCGACTTTGCGTTCGCGGTTTTATTAAATGAAACGACTGACTCGAAGCTCTTCAGTTCCTCCGCCAGGGGCGCCGTGAGGATCCGCACCAGGACTTGTCTTCGTGCGCGCCGTCTGCCCCCTCCTCTTCGGTGTCCACCACCACCAGCTGAGCCGTGTTGCGGAAGTGGTGCAGGAACATGGGGGTGGTGAAGAGCAGGTAGAAGAAGCTCAGTACTGTGTAGATGCACAGAAGTACGATGGCTGTGGGAAAGAAAAAGGATGAAACTTGTCAATTCAGTGGTGGGTACATTATGTACCCAATATGTACATACAGATGTAGTGCTGGCAACATTACTGAAGGTTCTGTGGCCGTTGACGAAGCGTCCAATGGCTTTGATGCTTCCTTTTGTGATGTCCTTAAGACGATAAATAATTGAAATTAGGAAGTACAAGTCTATGTGCTCTTCTGTAAAATATATTGTTTAAAAACAGTACATTAAATTTAATTTTTGTAAAAATATGTTTATTTTCAAATCTTAAATGTGATATGAGTGCACTTGTTTCCTGCTGCTGTTCGGCAAGGTAGCGAGCTGTGATCTAGAACGTACCATACTCTACCATATTTTTTCATGTAATTATAAGTTTGTGAACCACGAGAAACTCTGATGTCTTAACGGGAGTCATAATAAAACACTTCAAGAAGAGGCGTGGCTGAACAGCTGTCGGGCGGAAGGATACTTGTCTGAATTACATGTTGTGTTCATTTGTTTAGCGAACTGTCATTTTGGCTCATAGGCGAATTCTTCTAAATAATGTGGAACTCTGTATTATGAATTAACAAATAATCAAACCGCAATAAAACGTTTTCATATTAAAACACCCCAAAGTCAACTTTGGGTAACATTCTTCCCATCTGCGGTGGGCCTATAACAAAGCATAATTATTTCCTTAACCATACTTCAATAGACTTATTTCTTATATTTCCTTGTGGTTATATATTTCCTTGTGGTTACCCACTGGAGATGGGAAAAAAGTTCATGAAAGTTGTCTTTGGGATTTTTTTAACAAATAGTAAAAACATTCATTATTGTGGTTTGATTATTTAATTTATATTATGAAATATTAAAACGGCATAGCTTTACAACGCATGAAGTTTAACAGAATGTACTCCCCTGGTTCACACACGAGTATAGAAATATGAATCAATCCTTTCACACCAGAAGAAAAAATTAAAGGTCGCTCCTTTGGTACTTGTAAGGTAAAGCTTGCAGTAGAGATCCCATATTTTTAAACCGAAAAACTAGGACACAACACAAAATTATGATTGAAGGAGGAGGGTCTCATTAAACATAATACCAATGTTCAGAAAAGTGTGAATACATAAATTCTTTGCTCCTTCCGGTGCGTTGAAAAACTACATTGTGATGGAAATAAACTCCAATTATGATACTAAGTCAAAGCATTTGTTAAAAAGTTTTTTAAAAATAAATATTCCAGTTGCATGCCGCGCGGTGTAGCCAGAATCAGTCTTTCGGTCCTTCATCCCGAAAATTCGAATGACGGCAATTGTCCGTCTGTGGTCAACTCCAAAATAGCCGATGCCGAGTTTCTTCAAAATTGATATTACGCAATTGATCTGAATGTACTCGAGACTTAGGGAGTTTCAAACGTATATTTTGGTTTCCGTGAAAACTCAAAAACATTTTCAAAATTGACACAATTTTTTATCGAACTTTGTCTTCGTTGAGAGTAAAGGACGCTAACGGGAACGGTGCAGGTCCATCGTTCGTTCAAATCTCAATGTTTTGAAAATTGCAAAAGTGCAAGTTATTGGGGGACTTCTATACAATATGGAAGGTGAGGCTTTTTCCCTTAATTAAATCTGTTCCTAGTAGACGGATCTTTAAATAGGATCATGTTCAATTTTTCGAAAATATCAGTAGCTTTCGAATACTTTGTAGCGAAATCTAAGCAACTTTTTGTCTCCTCAGAAACCGCTCTAAATGTTTTCTCAGGAGGGATGCTTAAAAGAATGGCGTGGGTGTGATTTCGTTGAACTCCGAATTTTCTAGAATTGCAAATTTATAAATAAAACGAGAAAATGTGTACTGTGCGCACTAATTTGTGTACGAGTATCTTCTCCCCC